CACCACTTTCTAAAAACTATTTTTCAATTCTCAATATAAGGTATTACAGCCTTTGCTTTAAGCAAGGAAACTCAATGAAACATGGACCAAATTCTCTGATATGGCTTTGAGTCCCTCACACAAACAGATCTGTTCCCTATTCACTATGATACCAGAATACAGTTCTAAGGGCCACGGCTACTTTGCTCTAGACTCTTTTCCCATTCCCAAGACTTCATTTATTTATTTTTTTGAGACGAGGTCTCACTCTATTACCTGGGCTAGAGTGCAGTGGCATCACTATAGCTCACTACAACTTCAAATTTCTGGGCTCAAATGATACTCCTGCCTCGGCCTCCCAAATACTTGAGACTACAGGCGTGCACCACCACGCTCGGCTAATTTTTTCTATTTTTCTGTAGAGACAGGGTCTCGCTATTTTGCTCAGGCTAGTCTCAAACTCCTGACCTCAAGTGATCCTCCCAAAGTGCTAGGATTCCATGCTTTAGCCACCTTGCCCAGTCCAATTCCCAAGACTTTAAAATCTCTATTCCTGCTTTACTATTCACTCCTCTTTTCTTTAACACCCAGTTTTCTCTTTTTCCTGATCATCTTCAAAAGGAATATAGAAAAAGTATACAGAATTAAATCACACATACTCAAATGTCACATAAAAGAAACTGACCAACAGTTACTGAATCACGGTTTCCCTGAATCAAAAATTTAGTCATGTATCACTTCTCTCCTCAGCTTTCTGCAGCAGCACTATACAAGAGAACTCTCTGATATGATATAAACATTCTATATCTACACTGTCTAACACAGTAACCTTTAGTAACATGTGGCTATTGAGCACTGGCTAGTGTGATCGAGAACAGTATTTGTAATTTCAGCTGGCTTAGTGGCTACTGTAAGGGACAGCACAGCTCTGTAGCCAATACGAGATCTGCCAACTCTTTCTTGAAAGTTTGTCTTGTCACCAATTTTTTTCCTACTTCCACCAATGCCACAATAATTTAGCACTACACACATTTCATACATGTACTACTCTCTCTATATATGCCACTGAGATATTATTTCTCTCCCTACACTTCACCAAAATATTGTTTTAATGTTATTTAAATGTATATCATTCACAATGCTTAGCACCTAAAAGAACAGAAAGAATAATGTTCAAATAGTATTCAAAACCAAAGTATCACAATCTGACTTGACTGTTGTATTTTTATAGTCTCACCCACAAAAATCCTGATTCGGTCAAAAAGATCTATTCATCATTCCCCACAAAGATGCTAAGCTTTCTCTTTCTTTAGTTGTACCATGTTACCAATAACAGATGACTTATGACCATTTTTACAAATCAAGTCTTAATTCTTTTCTGTCTATGAAAACAGACCCCTCTTCTGATCACTGCTCTATCAAAGTAATAATCACTCCTAAATTGCAAAGCTAATTTATAATTTAGCATTATTTATTTTTAAATATTTAAATTTAATTAATGATTTATTGCTTTAATGGTTACTTAAATCTTTTATTGTTAATTTTTCATTTATTTGACTTTGTTCCAAGGGCATATCATGTAACCCTAACAGTAGTGTGTCCTTCACACTGGCATTTAGTCAGATGTGAATTAAGTCAAGGAAGAGTAGGAAGGATGATACAGAAAAAAAGGATTAAGTTAGGAGCTTCTCTGAAAAAATTATTCCTCTTCTGCATTACCGAAAGCTCAAAATATAGCTGAATTTCTGACAGGTTTCTGGCCTGGCGACATGGCTCAATGAACCAGGGGAGAACTCCTGCTTTCTCTTCACACCTTTAAAGAACAGTAATTTTATTTCCTGAAGGAAACTTACGTAATTCCTAAGTCTAAACCAGACTCCAGGCTCCCCCTGAAGCAGTAAGAGGCTCCTTCCTAAATAATTTCCAGTAAGTCAGATAAAAATTCATGTCCCTGAATGGTGTCAATGAGGCACACAGGGTAAAATGAAGGAATAAATTAACTATTCCTCACTACCCAAACCAAAGAAGAAATAAAAGACGAGGTAAAGAAATAACAAGTATTTCAGTCAACAAAAAATAGGATCTGTGGGCATCAATTTCCACTATGACTACATAATTTAAGTATTATTTTAACCTTTTAAAAATAGGGCTTTAGCCATTTCTAACCTTCATAAAATTATTAACTTGTCTGGGAAAGATTTTTACGCTATGGTGTCTTGTGAAAATCCTGGACAGTATTGGAAGACTGCCCCCCAAACTGAGAAGGAACTGAGAGATCAAAGAATGACTAAAGGAAGACCAGCTTGATGAGTTTATTTAGAGGTTTCTTACTAGGGTGCTTGCTCCTGGGGGCACAGGAATTTCTTCCACAGGAGCTTTCTTGCATCGAAGACCCACATCTGCCCATCTGTGGTGTTGCCTTAAATCCCTTCTCAATGAGTAATACAAAGATTTTGCATTGTATCTTTGCTTTTTCACAGAGAAACATATCATGCAGGTGCAGTTCCACCACCGTCAGCTGTCATGTAACCCATGTTCCCTTAATGATACTATAATTGTCCACTAGCTGGGGATTTTAGTATTACAATTAACTAAAGCACACTACAGGACAGCCAAAGCACCTCTAAAGCAGTAAGGGTCAGTTTGAGGTGGCCATTTAAAGATAAGAAAGTGCTGGGCACTTTTCCCTGGCCCAGTAGTTATCTTGGTACTTGCATAATCTATTTTGTAACAATTTTGTGGAACACTCCAGGCTAGCACATTGTTTCTGTTACAGAGTAGGGAACTTGAATTTTTCCCTCAATACAAAAGGTACTTACATTCTAAAGAATGTTTTGATTAAAATTTAAAAAGTAAAACTCATTGTTTCTAATTTATTCTATTTTTACAGTCTTAAGTAGAATAAAGCTTTATTTATACTTCCTAAACATTGTCCATTAAACACGAATTAAAGCCAGAGCACCAAACGACTCCTATATTTTTCTCACGAAGAAACAGACATGAAATTAGCATTAAATAAAATTAGATGTTTTCTCAAGCACTTGCAAGTGCTAATGTCCACGCAAGGCACAAAACAAGGGGTTTCCAGGCACTGGGGAGTGCGCAGCGATCTCGGAATCCGTGCAAAAAAAACAAAAAAAGAGGAGCCCAATAAAGGTTTTCAATGTCACAAATCAAAACATAGAGCTGGTGATCACAGAAGAACATCTTTAAGATAGGTATGTTTTTATTCTCTTTCACACTATAAAAGGACACTGTTTTGGAGGAGTCTAAACCTTAGACTGTACGTACACCTACATTTTGAAAACACAAGATAAGAACACTGACCTTGATGTTAGCAAAGGATGGCCAACTACTAAACTCAATTCCTTCTCTTCAGTTTGTTTCAAAATTAAATAAAATAACCCATGGCTCTGTCCCATCAAGGAGGGGTTGGCTGGGGTAGGAACTAACGTTCCCTACACTGCTACATGCGCTTTGCGAGGTAGTCAGAATTTGTTTAGAAGGTGATGACTCCACCTTGTTCCATAAATCAGCTTCCCTTGGTATCTTAGAAGAGCAGAGCACATATTTCCTAATTGATTTCTTTACTCTTCCTTTCAGAAATTAAGAATTTTCCTTAAAATGAAGAATTAAGCCTATTAAACCTAAGGTTTTTATAATTTTATGAAATTAAATGATCACCAAATTAAATACTGTAAACTGAGTAGAAATCACTTGAACTAACTTCTACCAGGTTCACGTATGTAAAATAAACTGAAATTTTTGCCCCAGAAGTATTCTATAATTTTAGGTACCTAACAGAACTATTTTTCTTTCACGATGCAAGGATATTAATATAGTCAAATTGAAAAGGTACAAACTTCAAATGATAAAACAGTATCTAGCTGTAGATATTCTATGTCCACACACTTTAGATTTTATTTAGTGAAGTGGTAAGAGAGAGTATGTATGGAAAAGGCAGATGAAATAAGGAATATAAAGGATGACCACAGTAGAGAACCAAAAAAGGAAAATCTCACCTGTCCTAGGTAGAAATAACTGGATGAATGAAACAATGAATACAAACCCTTTAATAAAAGGTAAGTACAGGTATATGAATCTTAACTGAGGCCAATAAAGACCTTTAAATAATCCAATATCTGGTGCCTATACAAAGGCCTATATGAAATGAATTGGTGATCTCAGTTCAGATATCCTGGAGGTCTTATTATGTGAGTGTACAGTACTGAAGGTAACATGTATAAAATAAAAACAGATTCCATTTCAGATACGGGTAGACAGCAATTACATTAAATTACTATTTTCACAAGATATCTAAAATGGTTCAAAATTGCTAAAAATTTTACTATTTCCAGAAACAAATATTAAATAACACCCATTATACCTAAAATGCACTTATAATTAAAAAACCATTTTATACTAAAACATATTTATTTTGTGGGACTTTTTTCTTTTTACTATACTATAAATTCTGAGGTCTTAACCTTCTAGAATTTTTCTTTTTTAATTTTATAATAAAGAAATACCCTCATGATAGCAAAGGGAAGGTAAAGGAAATCCCTAAACCACCTACTTCGTATAATATATGTCATTATCAATCCCCAAATACAAAATTGTTATATTCAAATTATATGAATATTAAACAAGTTTATCAACAGTAAATAATTATTAAAACCAAAGGAAATGTTTAAAAAACATACTCAAGGTGAATAGCATTACTTCTTAGAAGTATAGCAACTACTTTAGAAAAATACAATTTTTTTTAATTTTTAAGAATCCTGCTACTTGAAGAAAAATACAATTTAACTTAAAAATCCCACAACATAAACCAGACTAAATTAGCTGATATGTAAGTTTGGCTTTGTGTTAAAATAAGCCAATATACATACTGTATGTGCTTTGTATATATTACTCTTCCTTAAAAACAAAAATTTTTCAATGATTTGGTAACTCATTTTATTAAGATGCTGACCTAATTATATGAGTTTTGCATTTTAGAACTTACAAATTCCACTTACCACATATTTTACAGCACTTATAAACTGGTTGTGGAAAAGCAGATGCTGTGTTTCATCTTCTGGATTTGAAGCTGTGTAAAGCATTCCACAAACATTACAGGAAACTGCTCCAAATCTTTTTTGTCCTGCATCCTATTCATAAAAAATAAACAAAAGGTTTTTTCCTCCTAAAAGAATTATTCCAGAACATCAGCCTCTAAGGATATAATGTGAAGATAAAGTGAGAACTGTTTATAATGAATAACATTCAGCATTGATTACAAAAATTAAGACATTAATCTCAGCAATCTGTATGTAATTTTAAGAAACGTTTTCATTTTAGTAACCTGATCATTTGCTCTATAGCATATAATAACAATTTAAAGGAACTGAGAAATATCTGTAACATTACATACTTAATCCTAAAACCCGAAATAGTCACTACTCTACGAGTCAGAATATGTATTTCATATTGCAATAATTATACTGCTAGAGTACAGAGAAAATAGTTTTTAAGACTCCATTTAATACTTTAAAAATATTCTCTTAATAATTTTCTTCTGGATAGTTGATAGATATGAAAAAGAATTTTTTTTTTTTTTTTTTTTTTTTGATACAGAGTCTCACTCTTTTGCCCGGGCTAGAGTGAGTGCCGTGGCATCAGCCTAGCTCACAGCAACCTCAAACTCCTGGACTCAAGCGATCCTCCTGCCTCAGCCTCCCGAGTAGCTGGGACTACAGGCATGCGCCACCATGCCCGGCTAATTTTTTTGTATATATTTTTAGTTGGCCGATTAATTTCTTTCTAATTTTAGTAGAGGCGGGGTCTCGCTCTTGCTCAGGCTGGTCTCGAACTCCTGAGCTCAAACAATCCGCCCACCTCGGCCTCCCAGAGTGCTAGGATTATAGGCGTGGGCCACCGCGCCCGGCCCCTAAAAAGAGTATTTTGATGTTACCAGAAACTCTTAAGAAAAGGTAAAATTAATTTTTTCTATTATCTTTATTTTAAATAAGCACAAAAAACTGACTACAATCACCTATAATGCAGTAATTTATACTTGTGCCATAGAACAATAATTGTTTTCCCATGTGTGTTCTACTCCTGTCCTTATTCAACAAGAAAATTTCAGCAATATGAACTTTAAGATTAATAAGCTAAAAAAAAAAAACATAATCCCTTTACTCTTTCTGCTTTATAGCTCTGCAATTTGAACAATTATAAAGCTAACTGCCTACCACTCTGATAGGCCAAGGCGGGAGGACTGCTTGAGCTCAGGAGTTCGAGACCAGCCTGAGCAAGAGCAAGACCCTGTTTCTACTAAAGATAAAAAATAAGCCAGTCATCATGGCACACACCTGTAGTCCCAGTTACTCAGGAGGGTGAGGCAAGAGGATCGCTTGAGCCCAGGAGTCTGAGATTGCAGTGAGCTACCATGAGGCACACTGAACTCTACAACCAGGGCAATGGGGAAAGAGAGAGAGACTCTAGCTCAAAAAAAAAAAAAAAGAAAAGAAAAGAAAGCTAATTGCAGAAACGAACAGGATTAAGATAACAGTATCTCAAAGAGCAAAGAGAAATCAAATGGTAAATAAAAGATTATGTATAAAACTAAAGAGAAATGCATTGTAAAGGATTCAAATTATTGACAAAGCGTTACACGAAATTTCAAGCTGTTTTCTAAAAAAGAAAAAACTCATTAACTGTGGTAAAATATACATAACACAAAATTTGCCACCTTGACCATTTTTAAGTGCATAGTACAATAGTACTAAGTACATTCGCGCTGTTTTGCAACGAATCTCCATTACTCTTCATTTTGCAGAACTGAAACTACCCATTAAACTCTCGATTCTCCCCTTCCCCCCAGCCTTTGGCAACCACCATTCTACTTTCCGTCTCTGAATTTAACTACTCTAGGTATCTCATGTAAGTGGAGTCATATAGTATGAGACTTTCTGTGACTAGCTTATTTCACTTAGCATAATGTCCTCAAGATTCATCCATGTTGCAGCATGTGTCAGAATTTCCTTCCTTTTAAAGGCTGAATAATATTCCATCGTATGCATACCATATTTTATTTTTCCATTCACCTGTCAATGGACACTTGGCTTGTTTCTACCTTTTGGCTATTACGAATAGTGAACATGGGTGTACAAATCTCTCTTTGAACGGGCAGTTTTCATAGTAATGAGAAAGCATTTCTGCCTTAGTTTCCTCATAATAAATGGGAAATAACAGTAGTATCTGTCTCATACTTTTCCTATAAGGCTTAACTTAGTTTTAACATGAGTACAGATTACATAATAATGCTTTCAAAAAGAATTAGCTGGCATCATCATTAACATCACCGTCATCTTGACCAGCACTAGCCAACAGAAGTGTAATCTACAAATGTGATTTTAAATTTTCTATTAGTCATGTTAAAGAATGCAAGAACAGGTGAAATTAATTAATTTTAATAACATTTTACTTAACAAAACCCATTCCAAATATTTTAATTTCAACATATATTCAATATAAAAAACCTATTAGATACTTTACATTTTTTGTACTAATCTTTGAAATGTAGTATGTATTGTTTACACTTACAGCATATTTCAATTCCAACGAGCCACATTTCAAGTGCTCAACAAGCCACCTGTGGCTACCATATTGGACAGTGCAGCTCTAGATTCTATTTGTTTAATCCTGATTCAGTATCACACTGACTTGACAACAGAAACATTATTAAACAAAATAAAACAAGTTCTCCTCTCACTATTCCTTTGAAAAAATTTTTAGACAATTCTTGCAAAGTTATTCTCTGATATTAAAGTTCAAATTCACTGGGAGGCAGAGGTGGAAGGACTGCTTGAGGCCAGGAGTTCAAGACCAGCCTGAGCAAGAGCGAAATCCTATCTCTACAAAAAAACAGAAAAATTAGCCAGGCGTGGTGGTGCACACCTGTAGTCCCAGCTACTCAGGAGGCTGAGGCAGGAGGATCACTTGAGCCCAGGAGTTTGAGGTTGCAGTGAGCTGTGATGATGCCACTGCACTCTAGCCTGGGAGACAGCGCAAGACCCTGTATCGAAAAACAAAAACAAACAAACAAAAAAATCCATTGCCCAGTCTCAAAAAATCCTATTGACTGGAACTACATTAAATGTCCCTATTATTTTGGTTGCCTTTATTTTTTAATTTCCTTTACTTATTCAAATTATATTTTTAATCAAAGTATTAATATTTCTCCCTGTCTTTTCCATTTTGCCACCAAACTGGAGAGTATTTATGCTCTATTTCAAATTTATTATTGGTTTTACATAAACTGTAATTTTAAAATTATAAATATACTACAATATAGATACTTAAAATCCTTGTATGTATTAAGCTCATGCTATTTTAATATTTAAATCAACTACTGAAAGAAGGTAGTGATCAAAGGACGTATCTAAGAAAGTAACAGATGTGAAATACAGTGTCACAATTTATAATATATAAAACTACAAGTATGAAAACTGAATTATTAGTTACAGGATGGACTCAGTATTTGAGTAGGGGATTTGTACTAAAACTAGGAATATTTTCCATAATGAAAATTTATGATGACAAAAAGTCTCTAGGAATAAATTTATTCTTTATAAACACCTTGCATAAATAGGACACTGCTATGATTTTAACATGGTTTGGTTTGTCCTCACCAAAACTCATGTTGAAATATGATCTCCAATGTGGCAGTGTTAGGAGGTGGGGCCTAGTGGGAGATGTTTGGGGCATGGGGATGAATCCTTCACAACCAAGATTAATGCCCTCTCAAGCTCTGCTCTCCCACTCAGGTGAGTGAGTTCTCTCAGGAATGGATTACTTCCCAAGACAGCAAGTGTTAAAAACAATCTGGCTTCCTTGATTTCTCTCTTTTGCTTCCTCCAGAAGGGAAATGAGCTAGTGGTCTTTTCCCACATGAGTCTGCTCCCCACCTTCTGCTTTCATCCACGAGTTGAAGGGGCCTGAGGTCCTCACCAGTGCAGATGCAAATCCCAGCCTTCAGAACTATGAGCTAAATAAACTTCTTTTCTATATAAATTACCCAGTCTCAGGTATTGTTATAGCAACACAAAACAAACTAAGAAATGCTTTTAACAACACTTCACCAAAGAAGTCACACTGTATACTTACTATAATCAACTGTTTTTCATCACCTTTCTCTGCTTCTTTTAGTTTCAAGTCCTTTGGAATTGTTATCTCCAAATGGGAATTACACTTAGGCCAAGAATGATTTAGTGGTGTCTCCCTTAAAAGAAAAAAAAAAAAAACCCACAAACCACACACACAAAAAAATCTATTAAATATTACAGATCCATATCATTACAAATCACTGGAGGGAAAAAATAACTTACGTTTGACACAACACTGACAAATTCCAATTTCAAGAGGTAAAAAAACCAGTAAAACTATTAATTTTCAATAAACAAAAAATTGCAACACCTATTATAGTCTCAGTATGTTGTAAGTTTCAAAGTTTTAGCCGTCTGAGTCACTCCAGTTTGTCCTAAATATTGTTTGTTGGTAATCCAAATGGCAAAATAACTCAGATTTATCTAATTCTGACACTGGAAAGAAAACAGGCCGGGCACAGTGGCTCATGCCGGTAATCCAAGCACTTTGGGAGTCTGAGGTGGGAGGATCGCTCAAAGCCAGGAATTCAAGACCAGCCTGGCCAGTACAGCAAGACTCCATGTCTACAAAGAATAGAAAAATTAGCCAGGCATGGTGGTATACAGCTATAGTCCCAGCTACTTGGAAGGCTGAGGCAGGAGGACTGCTCGAGTCCAGGAGTTTGAGACTGCAGTGAGCTATGACGACACCACTGCACTCTACCTGGGGTGACACAGACCCTGTCTCAAAAAAAAAAACAAAAAACGGGGGGGGGAGAAACAAAGAAAATAAAAAGCTTTTAATCTATTTAGAACACTCTTACATGCTGATAATATCCAGTATTTCTAGGAGTGTGGGGGAAGAAGCATTCTCAACATGGTTGCTGGGAGTAGAAATAGGCACAAACACTTTGGAGGGAAAGCTATGAATTTATCCTTGAAATATAGTCACACAAGTGGGCAAAGATATATATGTTTATCGTAGGACTTCTTTTGGGTTTTTTGGAGGGATAGAAATAAACTAGAAACATCCAAAATGTTCAAAAAGTGGAGAACACTTAAATAAACCACGGAACAGGCACACAATGAAATCTAATACAGAATTTAAAAGAATGACATAAGAAGGTAAAAAAGATGGCCACAGTACATTAAGGAAAAAAAAGCTATTAAACACTATGTATAGGCATATAAAAAGTATCATAAAAAGTGAATTTGTGAGTAAGTTCAAATTTGTAAGTATAAAATCCTTAAGTGCTAAAATTTAACTAATACCTTACCTGTTATCACTGCTCTTAAATGTTTGGTTATTGAGTATACTGTGTTGTTTGGGAGCTGAACCTGTAATTTAATCAAGAAGATGAGTTATGTATTAAGTTTTGTACTAGCTCTCCATCTAATGGATGAAATTATTATACATAAAGAAAAAAACTTTCTATATACTAAATGCTTTGTTAACAAAGGCCATTTGATAAAATTAGAGCCCCTCCTAGATATCACTCTTCAGAGAAGAGACAGAAAGACTGTCCCACACTTGAACTTAAGAGTCGCAAACAGACCGGGCGTGGTGTGTCACACCTGTAATCCTAGCACTCTGGGAGGCAGAGCTGGGAGGATCGCTGAAGGTCAGGAGTTCAAGACTAGCCTGAGCAAGAGTGAGACCCCCCATCTCTACTAAAAATAGAAAGAAATTAGCTGGACAACTAAAAATATATAGAAAAAATTAGCCGGGCACGGTGGCGCATGCCTGTAGTCCCAGCTACTCGGGAGG